TTTCTGATTCTTCTTCTAAATTCGTCCATTAAGGTTTGTAGTCTCGTCGCATGAACTCTATCAGCTCCCACATGCCTAGTCTTTGTTGCTTCCCACACTTCTTTTGAGGTATCAAGGTTGCTAACTTGCAACATTAGGATTTCCGAGTATTGATTGAAAGAGGAATGCTCGAGCCAGATTATTTTTCTCAGCGTCTTCTACTCATGGTTCTATCGTTTTTAAAACTTTATTTACCTTAAGTTCCACCTTCATCCTCATGCTCCATACCGTTTAGTTAATAGTGGTGAGCATTGGACACAGTATTGACGATGGAACATCCTTCGTCTTAGCTACTGCGATCAAATCTCCCATGTCTTTATCTCTTCACAAAGACTGTTCTTGTTCGTTGAATGCTTTCTTTCAATTCCAACCTAGCTCTGATACCAATTATTGAAATCGAGCACATACAAAACCAAATATAAAGACTCATTTTATTGTAACTCTAGAAAACTTAACTCTAAAAGTAAAGTTCTCGCAAATCTCACAAGTTATGTGACAAGATTAACATCTTATATAACACATATAAGTTCCTCAACTCATTAGGAAACATATCTTATGGATAACTCTAAATATAACTCTTATCTCATTAGGATAGCTTGAAACCTTATTTATCTTGAGAAGTCACCACGGCTACCAAATGTTAAGTATACCTCCGCTCACATCAGTTCCACAGAATCGCCGCAACTTCGCTGAAAAAGCAAAAAAAATTACAACCACATCAATTCACCGCAACGAAGAAACGCCACAGCTTGGCCGGACATGTATAAATCTACAACCATCAGGGCCAGCTTGAATATTTTATAGAGTTTTTCTTCTTTGAAAAAAAAAGTGAGCGTAATTTTCTTGAAACTATTTTATACAAAACTTCAAAAATAAGTCTGGTTATAAAAAAAATGTAAAAATAATTATCTCCTTTAATTTTTGTTTACTCGAAAGTAATTTATAAGAAAAAAAACTAGTTTTTCAAGTAAACCCTTTCCTATCGCCCTCTAAGGAGGCACTGGCACTGGCACTGGAGAGTAAGAATTGAACTGAGTCAGAACCATTGTACCACTTCAGCGCGATCTAGTTCTTTAAACTCTACGTTGGAGTTCGCCTCAAAGTCAGAAACCATACCTTGCTAATATCAAGTATGAAAAGGAAACTGAAATGATAAATTCGTTTAACATCATTATAAGAATGTTGACAAAAAACATCATTATAAGAATAGTTCCTCAAACTGAGTCTCTAACAATTACTAAATTCATTTAATATAATTATTTATGTAAAATTAAATTTAACATTAAAAATGTGCTAGTTAGAAAATGACAAATGACACAAGGGTTTCTGAAATTGCTTAGGAGTTTTTCATACTAAAACAGTTCTCATTTTCTACACAATCTCTATAATCATATTCATTTTATAAACTCTTTTTGTTGAAAGACTTTAATATCTATAATAATGTTCTTATAATATTAAGAAACTTGGAGAAAATGTGTGATGTGGGATAGGCATAGTCCACCATTGACATTTAATTTATGTTTTCTTATTGACATTATACAAAAAGGGAAACTTCCAAGAATTAATTTTTTTTTGCAGTTGTGCTTGTGAACTTTGTCGACATAATTGTTATATATTTTGACATTCGCAAAAAAAAAAAAAAACAGTGCATGCATATGTCCATAAAGCTACCTTCATCATTAAGTGGATTGCAATTAGAAAAGTTATTCCACATTCTGCTTTATTAGTCCATAGTTTTTTTTTTTTTTTTTATGTCAAATTATTAGTCCATAGTTTCAAAAAACTTAGCAGTAACTTGTATATAAATAAAAATGATAGGTATACCGTGTATGAAAGAACAAAGCGTTATGATGAATTAGCCACTATTGAAGCCAAATCCATGAAGTGATCATAAAACATCATTTTAAATTAGTGCCATACTTTGACAAGCATGAATCAGATCGGCACTTACTTATATTCTAACTTAACTTAAATGGATTACTAAAGTATGCGTAGATATGTATACTTTGTCAACATGATCAAACAATTGAAAATGTTTTTTCAGTACTGTCTGTGCTTAGCTATCTTCCATTATAGTGACTGCCATTAGAGATTTAATAGTAAAATAAGCAAATTTGATATTCAGATAGCATGTGCACACAAAAAAAAAAAGATATTCAGATAGCTTTGCTTTAGTAGAAATACTGGTAGTTTGATTTCTATTTGATAATCATAGAGTTGGATGAAAAATATGGAGATAAAGAAAATCATAGACCAGCTGTGAGTAAATCCATAGATTAAACAATTATTATCCACTATATGAGTATAAATTATGAATTCACTATTTAAATAATTTTGTAATTAACTAGTTAAATTTTATGTTGCGCGATTGATTGAATGAGAGAGGTCATGTTTATTACATGTATTATTCCATACATTATGGAATAAATTTTTGTTTCTTGCAATTCTATCACCGATTTAAAAAAAATATCTATGACCGATTAAGGAAAAAATCTATGATCGATTAAGAAAAAATCTATCACATATATATTTTTTTTTACATCAAACATACAGACTTATATAGGAAAATCATAGACCAGATGTGAGTAAATCCATAGATTAAACAATTATTATTCACTATATGAATATAAATTATGAATTCACTATTTAAATAATTTTTTAATTAACTAGTTAAATTTTATGTTGCGCGATTGATTGAATGAGAGAGGTCATGTTTATTACATGTATTATTTCATACATTATGGAATAAATTTTTGTTTCTTGTAATTCTATCACCGATTTTAAAAAAATATCTATGACCGATTAAGGAAAAAATCTATGATCGATTAAGAAAAAATCTATCACATATATATATATTTTTTTACATCAAACATACAGACTCATATAGACTCTATGAACCAAATCGGTAGTTCTGTATCCATGTGAACAACGAAAAACGGTTATATTCGGGCACTGCATGCACAATTATCTGTTCGTAAGTTTAGTGTTCTATGAAATCTATCACATATATAATATCGTTTAACACTCTTAACTCATCGCACAGTTAAGAAAAAATTAAATCTGACCCCTTAAGTGACCGAATTAAAATCTTTTCGAACAAAAAAAAAGTTACCGAATTAAAATGTCTGCAATGGGTCATACATACGAGTAGGCGGCTGTATGTTCTATCACATAATACTCTAATTATCAATATTTATGATTTATTTAGATATCTGATTTTCTGATTTATTTTAATTTAAAAAATATAGATATTCATTTTTTAAATAACTAAATTCTTTTAAAATATAATAAATATTTATCGAATATTTATAGATATCTCATTTAATACAAATAAATTTAGAAAAAAACTTATACAAATTTATTTCCAAAAATATATTTCACATAATAGAGAATAAAAAGTAAAAATTAGTGGAGCTATATGCTCCATAAATTTTTATAATTAACTAATCTTTTTATAAAATACAGCATTTTTTGCCCAAAAAAAAAAAATACAGCATTTCAGAGTTTGTTTAGTTTTTGTAAGGATTTAGATTTCTTTTTTAGTTTAATATTTTTATAAGTAAAAATTATACATTACACTAATAATATATATGATTATACATTTAAACTATATATGTAATTTTAAATATATATTTATTTATATAAAATCAGAACAGGTCAGATATACGGTTCAATAATTTTAATATTTATAATATATTTGTTTTTAGCTGATATTAATTTTTAATATTTGATTTTCTTTGAAAATTTATATATATATATATATATATATATAAAATTTTATAATGATTCAAAATGAGTAATAAATCAAGTTTAACGAAGAAAATATGCAGTCCTATATTAGAAAAATAATAACAAAGCAGATTAAACGTGAACTTTGTAGAAGCACACAGTTTCCTTCCACACACTCGACCCATTTGTCAGTGTGAGTCAATGACTAATAAAATGGTAAACGACACGCGTAGTTGAGCAGCCATGCCAATTGGCTACGACAACTCCACTACTTTAATCATGTTTCGAGATATTTCTCATTGATCATAATTAAACGAGGAGAAACTTTCCCAAAGTTATCTGCCTATAAATATAACATTTTAAGTATTTCAACGCTGACAAACTTTCCCAAAACTATATTTTTGGTGCAAAAAACTATATAGTCTTATAGAAGTCGTACTCTCTATATACTTCTAACTTTGTATATCAGATTAGAAGCAGTAAAAGCACATCAAGATAAAATCAAAACTATGAAATATCGTATAATAAGATAACATTCAAACAATGAAATTAGTATTTTCACTTATGTCTGGTTAGTCATTTTTTAGACGAAAGAATCATTCCATTATATTAAATTAAGTGAAATAGTCACTAATTATACAGCAGGAGTTAGGCAGAGTGATAATGAACACTTAACAGTGACTAAAAATATGAGTTTGAAAGCCTCTTCTTGGCTACGGTTCATTAAAACACCTTGTTGTTGAGAAACATTTGATCGAGTATCTTTACAAAAAAAAAAAAAACATTTGATCAAGTATCTTTTCAGAAAAAAAAAAGACATTTGATAGAGTAATATAAACAAATGAGTCCAATACACACAGATTTCTGTTATACTGTGTCTGTGTGTATAGTTAGTATTTTATACTTTCATAAAACCATCAGAACTGCAATAAACATGGAAAGTGAATATTGAAGAGTATTTAGGTCTTTGTCCTAAAAACTGGAAAGTGAAAACGTGTCCAACAACTGTTTTTTTTCATATTTGATTTCACCAATTTTGATTTAATAATTAAAAAGTCATCCCACAATGAAAGTTGTATATATATTGCGCCAACTGGAAGAAGTGAACTACAAAAGAAACCAATACAAAGATAAAACTCATAGCAAGCTGTGGAAAACAAAGAGAGACAAAACGCACCACAAAGGGTTTAATATACTACTATATCCATTTTGTCATAAATCACGATACTCAAATGGCCAACAAAGCTACCTTCCATCTCCTCATGATCTTCTTCTTCACTCTATCTCAATTCTTCTTCTTCTTCCCTACCAATGCTTCGAGTAAGATCTTCATCTGTTTATTCTTTTCTTTCTTGTTATAAATATGTCATGAAATGATGTTTTAAGTTTTAACAAGATATACTACTGGTTGGTTCTCGAGTTTTTATATGTATATTCTTAAATATATATATATATATATTTATGTATATATATATATTTATGTATATATGGATGTGATTGATAGTTGATGTAGAAGCTATCTACAATCCTATTTATTCATACAACGTCAACTTTACGGCAATCAAGTTTTATTTTTTTATTTTTAAATTATAGTTCTTGAAATAATCTATTGTAGAGTTAAATATTAACAACAATTTTTAAATCTTTTTATATAGTAATAAAATCAAAAATCACAGCAAAAAAAATTTCCAAAGTTTTTTCTGTAACAAAATTTTAAAGGTATAATCATTACCAATAGAATCCTATATCTCTTTCTTTTATACGTCTGTAGGATTTGGGAGTTTGATGGATAAGCCTGATCAGATTAACCTACCTCAACACGAGATACTACTGGTTCGTTCAACATTTAAATACGTATTCTTGAAAGGTTATCATTAGCTTTAAAAACTAATTTCTTAGCCTTCTATTTTGTTAGGATGTGAAGAAGGATTTGGAGGAAAGGGTGACGATGGAGTTAAACGATTATCCAGGCTCGGGTGCCAACAACCGGCACTTGCCACGTGGAAGAGGGTGCATCGATTGCTGATAGATAATATTTTTATAACATGTAAAATCGTCGATAAGTTTATGTAACTTGCGTCTGAATTAGTGTTTACTGACTATGATTGAGTTAGTTAACGTTGAGGTACACACACTACTAGACTTTATATTTAGTTATCCTGGATGAAAACGTTAGTTTTTAAGGAATCCAGTTGTTTATCTCAGAGATGCTCTAATATGCATTTATCTGTATTAAAAATTAATATTTTAACAGCTTTACAATCTGATTATTGTAATATTCTAAGGAATGCTAAATCAATTATATTGATCAAAACGTTTTAATCTTATAAGAGTGAACAATTAATTTTCTTCAAAAAAAAAAAAAGAGTGAACAATTAATCAATACTAGAACACCAAAACCAGTAAAGGATATAGCTATAGGTTCGGCATCAGGTCTTTCAGCTTATAGAAACATGTGTTATAGAGAAGAAGAAGAAGAAACATGGATTTTCAAAGAAGAATCAATCCATCCTCAGAAATTTATTCACGAAATTCACCCATTGAAATCTATTCACGGGATCATCCTCATAATTCATCCATTGAAACTCATCAATAACAATGTATCCACTACACGATCGTTGAAGGCAAGAAAAATCATTTGAATTAAAAGAGCTGTTTACCCATTGAAACTCATCCAACACAATGTATCCACACGATTGTTGAAGGTAAGAAAAATCTTTTGAATTTGAATTAAAAGAGTTGTTGGGATTTGTTATATCAGACTCATTTTTTAGATTATATGTCTATATATACTGAGCTGTAGACTACAATAAATTTTTGAGGAAAACAAATCTCTCTCTCTCTCTCTCTCTCTCTCTCTCTCTCTCTCTCTCTCTCTCTCTCTCTCTCTCTCTCTCTCTCTCTCTCTCGGATTCTCTCAATCTTTCTTGTGTTCTTGAGCTTTTTTCACATTTCTTACATGGTATCAGTGTTCTTAAGCTCCTGAAGACCAAATTGCTTCTGCAACTTTACTCTACTCACCTTACTCTTTACTTTCATCAGTTTACTTTCTTCACAATCTCTTTCATTTCCTTTTATCCATTGGGTAATAGTTACTGTTCTGGATAACATTTCTCAAAATCTGGAAGTGCTCACTTTGTTCTATCCATCTTACGTCATTTCTAAAAAGCATACCTTGGTTATCCTTAGTTTCTCTCCTGTTCCAGCCTCAGATATTCAATTTTTTTCTTGATGCATCATTTTACCCGCTGAAAAATAGCAAGCAAAGATGGAGCAGCACATGCCACTCATGATTGCGGTTACCCTGAGAGGTGCAAACTAGATCACTTGGTCAAGATTGACCAAGATAACCCTTGGAGGAACGGGTCTGTGGGAGCATATCACTTCAAGTGAAGCACCAAGGCACTCAAGGAAAAGATGACAAGGAGGTTGTAGTGGTAAATGAAGACAAAGAATCAGGAAGATTTTATGGTGTTGTCTATCTTGCAAAGCTCACTTGATACTTTTATGATAGAGTCTCACACTGTGAGATTGCAAATCAGCTATGGGTCACCTTACACAAGGTGAATAGCAACACTTCAAACCTCACCGGAATCTTTGAAGTTAAGAGGGCAATCAACAAATTGCAGCAAGAGGAGATGGACTTCACCAAGCATCTTGGGAAGTACAGTCAGCTGTGGTCTGAACTTAAGATGCTAAGGCCAAGCACCACTGATCCTAACATCCTTGAGGAGAGGCGTGATCAAGACAAGATCTTTGGGCTGCTCCTCACACTCAATCCAAGCTTCATTGATGTGTGTGCTCAATTTCAGAAGCAGCTAGGCTCACATGGTTTATTTGGTGTAAAAGGGTGTTGTCCATGACAAACAAAGCTGAGAAGGTGGAGAGTGCTTCAGCTAACAAAGATAACCCTTGGAGGAACGGGTCTGTGGGAGCATATCACTTCAACTGAAGCACCAAAGCATTCAAGGAGAAGCTGACAAGGAGGTTGTAGTGGTAAATGAAGACAAATGGGATCAGAAAGATCTTATGGTGTTGTCTATCTTGCAAAGCTCACTTGATACTTTTATGATGGAGACCTATTCACACTATGAGACTGCAAATCAGCTATGGGGTACCTTACACAGGGTGTGACACCCCCGATCTGGCCTAAGTACAAGTTGACTCAACCGGCTGTGCAACAATCAAACAAGAACATGCACAGCCAATCACTAGTAACTTAAACCAAACCAAAGAAGCAACAATGTGCACATAAACGATTAACTCAGAGTTCCTGGAATAAATCCAAGTACCTTAAGTCAATTGCCTAAGTACACATATCCTATTAGGTACAACCCAAGGCTTTGCAACCCGACTGAGTAATACCCAATAGTTGGTTCGTCCGGACAAGCACTAATATCATATGGAACCCATACTTAAAGAAACATGATTTATACATTATATAAAATTCTTTCAAAAGCATCTTACAAAACCTTAATTATTAACCTCGAGGTTTTTGGTTAACAAACATTATACATAAGATATATGAAACGACTTTGCAAGGATAATAAATCTACCGCTGGCTGAAGCCGTTCCTTCTCAACCTATAGTAAAGGTCTCCCGCCTACTGGTTACCTGCATCACAAATGAGTCATGAGTAACTAGTTTACTCAGTGAGTCTAATCCCATACCCCAATACATATCTCGAGCAATCAACAACATTTGAATGCAGTTGAAATATATTCCATACCTATACATATATAACCTTTCATTTGATCAATGTGAATATAATCTTAAACATCACTTTCGTGTCACCCGCCATTCACTCATACATATAATATATATACTAAACCCGGAGAACCACGAAGGCTAGCCGAGCCTAGAGGGAAAATAAATATAACTATATTCGCCATCAGATATTCTAAGATCGAATATCTAACGATGCATGCAGTTACACGGCCTCCAGGGTGCGACCCCATCATCGTGTCTTCGTGACCTTGTTCTATATCGCAGGAACAATTCGCGGTAATGCGGGACTTTCGGGAGAGTGAATGTGATAAGACTTCACATGATTCTTACTCATATACTTAATTATATATTTATATATTAGTACTTGAGAACAAGTAAGGCTCAGGATAAACCTCAAAAAATATTTCATAATTATTCTTAAGTGTTTAAATAAGTAAACACCTCACCATAATTATAGGTTACGATACTTTGCTAATCAATCAATCATATTCAGTAATTAAATTAAGCAACACTCTTTCCTAAATCATCATTCATCTATCTAGACTCACCTTTAATCCATGAGATTGGCTAAGGAATACTAGACANAAAAAATATTTCATAATTATTCTTAAGTGTTTAAATAAGTAAACACCTCACCATAATTATAGGTTACGATACTTTGCTAATCAATCAATCATATTCAGTAATTAAATTAAGCAACACTCTTTCCTAAATCATCATTCATCTATCTAGACTCACCTTTAATCCATGAGATTGGCTAAGGAATACTAGACACGAGCTCAAGATAAACGTTCACCACTAGATGATCACTTCCCAAAACAGAATGAGGACAAGGCATGATATCCTTCAAACTTTACTCGACTACTGGCCTAAAACAAAGCAGTTCGGAAACATGATCATCAATCAACAACTGTTTGGTTCTGAAGAAGAAATTTAATCAGGTCATAACAGCTTGGTTAAGGACAAGGTTTATCAGTTCAGTTCAGGTGTAGTTAAGGACATGATCAGTTCAGTTTAGATTAACTCCAATCAGTTCATAACAGATGAGCTGATTATTCAATCTGATTTAATTCAAAACTAAATTAAACTGAACCGTACAAAGGCTTAAACAATTGATCAAGGACACAAGCTTAACTAGTTAACATCTGGTTCTGAGAAGGAGATGACTGAAGCAAGAAACTGAAGCTCGCCACAACAACAGATGGACATGAACTCAGATGATCCTCCTCATCAAACTGAAATCATAGCTGGACTGTTTTTGTTCATCACAAAAACATAACAAAGTTAAGGGGTTTCTCTGGATACTTCACCTTCTGATCTTCTACACAGCAAAGAAATAAGCCAGAGGATGGAAGAAATTCATCCAAGATCGTAGCTAATTTTTCCCTGATTTTTAATCTGATATTTCACTCTTTCTTTCTCTGATTTTTCTTTCACTCTCTCACAGTTTTTCTCTGGTTTCTCTTGGAGGTTATGTACGACCAGAAGAGAGAAGATGGTGTTTTATAACATAGGAGGTTACTTCACATCAGGGTTTTATTCAGGATAAGACAAAGCAAGGACTGGACAGGTGGAGAGCTGCTTCATTGATCTCAGCAGAAAACTGCTGTCCTTTCCATCCCATGAAGAAAGCTTCTCCCCAGCCACATGATTTTTGTTTTATTAGGCTGAGACAGCAAGCAAGCAGACTAGCTGGTGCAGGTCATGTGGCTTGTTTAATTAACAAGCAAGCAGGCTAGAAGGTGCAAGGCATGACGGGTCAGCAAGGCAACTAGAAGGCTGGTCGATATTCCGGAACAGTTTTTCGACTAATTATTTCTCTTCCAGTAATTCCTATCCTGCTCTTGACTAAACTCATCCACCATAAATAAAACTCGACCATAGTAGTTAACACTTGACCAAAAATATCAAGGGAAGGTCTTTCGACCACAAGACAGTCCCGTCGAGATATTAATTCACCGGGTCGACTTTATTTTAATTCTGATCGAACCATCTTCGATCTGGTCGAGCGGAGTTTTTCTCGGCAAAAAATTAACTGGCTCATGAGGGTTATTACATTATTCCCCCCTTAAAAGAATTCGTCCCCGAATTCTCGAAATATAGATACGTTCTCTACTGCAACTGGAGTCTGTGGAAAGAGTGTAAATAATCAGCTCTGAACTTATCCTCATATGCCCGTGTCAAAGCTACTGATGGTTGGTTCACTAAATACTTGAACCTACAAACTTTTCTGATTCTCCAATCTTCTGATATGGTGCTCACATATCCTTAACGAACCTTTAGGATAAGTGAGTTGAG